AATTTATATAAATATATAATGAGATAAACATAAACATAAATGAAACAATCAAACAAAATTAATGTTTTAGTTTTACCCAACCATATCTATTAAAGGAATCTGCACCAGATAGTGATAATAGAGATTATGATTTTGAATTGCATTATTGTAGAGCAAGTGATATGCATTGAACATGCCACATACAGGAACTATACATTTAAATTTATTTACAAAAAGATACATGGTATGTAATAATGTTGATATAGTTTGATTAAATATGTTGATCAATTTGTAAACTGATAACTAAAATGACTTGAAAAAAATTGGTTCAGTATTTGTAAGCTTAATCTCCTGGGGGCAGAGCCTGAAATTTCTTGAACAAACAGATGATTTCCCATATATTAATCTTAGAATGTTTGGGATCAACAAAACTTTTGTCCTTGGGATGCTCATAAATTTTGATTTGGCAATTAAGAGATGTTCTCCAGGAATTGAAGGTCTTGTCATAATAAACTAATACTCATCGACCCATATAATTTTTTCTTTGGTGCTTTTTTTTTAAGTTTTCATTAGTTGATTGTAAACAATGGCGGACCACATAAACCCCTCATGATAAAAATCTTGCGTCACGTGTTCTACTGACAACCACAAGTTTCTGAATCTTGGTGAAAAATTCCCATCTGTGCGCGTGTTTGATCGGCAAGAAAGAAAAAAAAAATTCAAGAACATCATACGGGAGATCGACGTGACCAAACTGACGGTGATTACACTGTCTCTTGATTCTTTTTAGGGAAGACTGTAACATTATTGTTTGGTTCTAGGGAAACAGTGAGAAAATAATCTGTGATAATGATGAATCCAGGCTTTGAAGAGTAGATATAGGAAAACCCTTTTGGGTTTCAATAATGCCTTGTTTATATTCATAATTTCATATTAATTAAAAGAACTTTTGATTGAATAAGAGCTGTTGAGAAAATTCTGGCTGGTTCAATTTTCTTTTTCAGGGTTTCTCTAAAACAGTGAAGCGCATGAAGAAACTCAATCGGCAACAAGAAAAGGAGGAGGTGGATATTACGTTATACTAAGATACCGGGTCAATTTGTAAACTCCCGCCGTCCTGCGTCGTTTTACATGTGTTGAAGTTGGAAGTGGTGTCGTTTCGATGTTGGTTGTTAACTACGTGCATCAGTGCATGTGGCTGGCTTGTAAAGTTGTAATGTCCCGGCGAAGTTTTTGCCTTTAATGGAAATAATAAATAAATGTTAGCATCTTAAAATGGACTGGAAAATCTATTATATATTTCATTATTATAAAGGAAATAAATAATGAGTTGTGATATTAACGGAGATCATTGAAATGGACATAGAATCGAAGACTAATTAATTGAATGATTCTTGTTGTGTCTAAAGGATCGTGCTGATGTCAGCACCAATTAATCAGAGTTTAGGAAAGCTTTATGCTGTCTAAAAGCTGTCACATCACCTTAAGACAGAAGAGATACGACTGTTGTTAACCCGACAGATTCAAGTTTTGTTTATGAGTGGATGAGGACTGCATACTTGTCCTAACTTTATCAAAATAAAAAGATAAGGATTAAGGAGTGGTCACCATGTATCATAATAACTTACAGAAACATTCATTACATTGACCTAAAATGTGTATAAATAAATATCTTTCTTCACGAGAAGGGGAGGTTGAACATATGAGAACCAGGGGCAGAGCCAGCCCCTTTCACATTTTAAAAATAATTTGTTTATATAGGTTTATAAAAAAATTATATATATATATACCTATCTTCATATTTAAAAAAAAAAAATGAGAAATATGATATATATATATTCAAACTCATATAAAACTTTTTATTAATATATATATTCTACGCTTACATTATATTAAAAATTTAAAACTCTCTCAAACTTTTTTCTACATATATCTGTTTTTTATGATTTTATCCTTACAGTTTTTTATTCTCTCATTTTCTCTTTCACTTTCTCTATGTTATTCGTTAATAAAACTTTTGAAAACTGAAATTGTTGAAGTTTTCACTCATCAAGGTGCCACAATTAGCTTCGTTTTCTGTTTTCTCAGTTTTAGGTATGTGTATTGCTCATTTTATTTTAGTTTATTTTAGTGTTAGATCATGCTTATTTTTTGAAGGATTTTTATTCTAATTTGATGGAAAAAGGCATGGATCTTGTAAGTCTATTTTGTGTTTAAGAATGTTCTCATTTTCCCAAATTAAACCTTAACTATATTTTACTGAATATTATTTTTCACTCTCCACCCACCATTTTCTTACATTTCAAACGTCACTGTTTAGCTGTTCAAAACTATTAAAGAAGTTATTATCTATGTTTATACTAAGTAAATTTCCCATTTTGTTATTAATTCATATTAAAAGTCAAGACAAGATTGACTTAATTTAAGTTTTGGTTGAATTTAACTTAGGCTAGGGCTGATCAAAGTCATAAAAATTTATATTATAATATTTTAAAGGAAAAAAAAAGAGGAGAAATACGAAATTTGTGTAGAATATTTTTGGTGGATTGTGATTGTTGTAAACTCGTTTAATTATATTGGATTTAAGTTGATCGCTAGATTACTGTGGTATTTTGCTCTCTTTAATTGAAAAGGTTTTTGCACGTGAAAAATTTCTTATGTTTCCTTGTGAATTGAATGTTATTTTCAACATAATTTGCTCAAGGTTTTGCTTCTCATAGATTTATTCAAGTGGTAAAGTATTGTATTGTTGTATTATTTTCTTTTTGATTATTGATATTATATTATTTCTTTTGCTCAAGGTTTGATGATTTTTTTAAATTCTTCACTAGTTGTTTGATAAACAATGGCGGAGCCACGGAGGCCTCCCCTGGACAAAAATCTTGGGTCTGCCACTGATGAGAACTAGACATAGATTTGAACTTCATTATTTCTGTATGTAAAACAAAGTATTTATTCATCTTTGTATGTCTTACGGGCAATATCATAAAAGTAGTCAAAGAATAATAAAATAACAGTAGATGTATGATTTATTTTAAGTATCCGAACCACTATAAAAACCTTTATTGTCAGTCTATTATTTATGTTTCTGTAACATATATAATTTCAGTATCATATTCAAATCTCATGAATCGATCATGTGTAATTTCAAAGACTCTCTTAACACTTTATACATGCAAGTCATTGGTGTCCAAAATCAAGCATCAACAATTGTAAATTTGATTCATCCCAGAAAAAACAGTTGGCCAATTAGTATTATTGGCTCTGATTAATGTAATACTGACTTCCCAAATATATATAATCTTCTCTAATTAAGTCAACAAATATAAACAAAACAAAGTTGTTCATGGTAGTTGGTCTTGGGAAGAACAAAGAGAAATGGTTCGTGAATATTTGTGGAGTAGGTATTTGTATCAGATGAGGTTTAGTTGTTGTAAGAGGGCATCTCCAACCCGACGTCATTTTAGTGTAAATGGTGTGAAAAATGTGCTCTATTTCAACATAAAAAACTACATTAAATTAGTGTAAGTGAACAATGTTATATCAAATTCAGTGTAACACTATCCATCCACACTAATTTGGTGTGATACTATTTATCTACTATAAAATATATTTTATTTTCTTATTTTTGTTATTTATATTTATGTTAATTTGATTATTATTTATAATAATAAATTTATAATAATTATATAATTAAAAAAATGATGAAAAATTAAAAACCAAAACTTTATTTAATGTAAATATTAAACTACAATAACTCAAAATAAAAATTAGTACTAATTTAAAAACATTAAAATTAAAAGAAAATACAACATAAACTACAATAACAATTTAGTATTCCGGTAGATTAGTTCCAGATCCTCTAAAATCATCAAAATATTGGAAAAAACTAGAGCTATTTTGAGATCCTTGACCTTGTTGTTGAGCTCTTTTTTGCATAATTTTTTATTGCTCATTTTGAAAAAACTCGCACAAGCTTGGATCGGTTATGGAATTCAAATCCGATTTCAAAATTTTTTTACTCAACATAAACAAATAAAGAATATAGAGGTTCACCATGCTCTTCGAAATGCATTAATTGATTATTTGTGAAAATAATATTCTAATTAAAAAAATAAAATTAGTAATTTTATTTTTGCGTTGTTGTTGTTTTTTTTTTTTTTTTTTTTTTGGTGGTATTTTATATTAGATGTAATTTTTTTTATATTAAATATAATGTTTATTTGATTAAATAAATGTTTAATTTTATTAAATTAGAATAATTTTCAAAATTATTATTATTTAATAAAAATATCATTCATAATATTTAATTAATATATACAAAAATAATTAATAAAATAGATTAATTGTTAATTATTAATAAAAAGAAAAAGAAAGAAAATATTTAAAAAAATATTCTTTTTAATATAATATTTAATGCAATGAATTACAGATACAATAGTGAAATAAAAAAAAAAAAGAAAAAATTACACCAATTTGATGTGAATCTTGCAACAATTTGGTTGTGACTGGAGATGGTCCAAAGAGGCTTATTTTGTGCTGATGAGTGGGCTAGTAGGACCGCCCTATCTTATGAACAAAAAACATATCCCCATTTTATTAGTTTTGTTTTTTATGGTCTATTTTCAAACTTATATCCTTTTTTCTTATCGTGTGATTATTTTCTCCTCAGCTTTAGCAGTATATTTTCATCAAACAAAATAAATATTTGAAATAAAAAAAAAAATCACTTCCCACTAAATTATTATAGATAAATACAAAATAATTAGGTATCAGTTTTTATTCAAAATCTTTTCAGTGTCTTTGCAAATACTTAAAAATCTGAATTTAAGGTTACCACGCAACTGAACCTGCTCATAATTCTTCACAAGAGACAAGGTTGGCGCAACCTTTTTAGACTCTAATAACTCCATTTCTTACTAATTAAGAAGAGAACTACGAGTTCAAATAACAAAGCCTCTACCTTACAATGAACTTGACATTTCACCAACAAGAGATGACTGGTGAGGTGAGGTATGATAATTAATCAATTGATTATAAGAAAAATTACAAGTTCAAGCATCCAAATGACAATTTACTAGACATGATCTAAGTTCGCCTAATGATCTGATTTACATGTAGCCACAGAGAACTAAGAATTCTTCTCAGTAGACTATCAATGTTGGAATGGTTTTGAATCAAATGCCACAAGGTACAACAGCAAGCAAACCATGCCCACTCAGCTCAGACAATCATGAAATATGAGACGAAGAGTTTCTACTTAGCTGAATGCCGTGATTTTTTCAAGGATCCTGGTGGAGGTTTTCATGTTCGGTTTGATTATTAAAGTCACCACCGATGACATTGTCAGCATTTTCGATTCTTGAAGTATATGAGAAACTCCATACAGCAGCACAGTTTTCATCACCTACATCAGATAGAGCAAAAACGCTCATGCACGTGCAAAAAAACACTTATCTATGATTATCATACACAATAGATGTATAAGGCCATTAACATGTTTTAAAACACCTACTATTGCGCTTCAAAATTCCAGAAATCCAGAAATCATACACAACAGATGTATAAGGTATTCTAATATTTCAATCAAATTATTCCTTATTTGAAGTTCTTTTAATTTTTGCTAATTTAACTTTCTTAGTTGGGTAAACTATTTTTTTTTCTTATTGTATTTAATTTTCTTAGTAAGGTAAGATATTTTTATTTTCCTATTTTTTTCTCCTTTCTCCCTCACCTTATTCTACTCTATTCGTCTTCCTCTCCCTGTTCTATCATATATGTAGCAAAACATCCAAAAAACATTAATTGAATATTCTGGAACCCATTACTGTAGCAAAACTTCCCAGATAAACTTTTAAATGATACCTGAGGCATTAGAGAGGGACGACAAAATGGATTTAGCTATACCATTAAATGATAACTAAAGCAATATATAGATATTGTAGAGAAAGAGAGCATAAAACAGACTGAATTAAGATTAAACCTATGTACTTTCCATCACATTTTGGAAAAGAACATAACATTATGACATCACGTGTGGCATGCAGAGACAAGAACACAGAATTCTTGTAATAACAACCACAAAGAGTGAAACAAAAAACAGAGCCATAAGAACATAACAAGAGCATGATAAACAAGACTGGCATGAGAAGGAAAGACATAGTAATAATAAAAGGAATCTCCAAATGCAGAGAATAGTTTGTAGTAACATGGTTACTGGAAATACCCCTCAAATGGAAATCCTCATTGCCATCATCGGGAAGTTCAAATCTTCGATGTCCTGATGATGAGGCAGCCATGGGAAAAAACGGATGAAAAGAGAAACCATTAACAGTATCTGCAAGTTGCTCAGAATGAAAAAAAAACTGGTTAGAAATAGAAGAAACTAAAAGACAAAAAGACAAATTAAGCATTCTTAAATGACATGGACTAGTGATACCTGCTGCGGCCTGAAAGCCTGATACCCACTGCCCAGTTTGTAAATCATATATATGAACCAAACCATCCTGGAATCAGAAATTACAAAGATGAGGATATAACCAATCATTTATTGTTGAGAGCTATTGCACCCAAAGCCTGATATGGTCTATTCTCTTTACTCCACCAAAGAAAAATTAACAGAATCAAATTTGATACCTGACCACCGGTTCCTAGATGTCGACCAGAGGGATCAATATCAAACAATATCCGCTGATTGGTATATTCAGAGGATCTGTAGAACCTAATAACAAGGTGCACAAAATAATTACATGATGTCAAAAAGTGAAGGCACTACAGTGTCATAACTTGTTTTGCTCACATAAAATTTGCACTAAGAGAAAATTAAAGTAATTGTGCAACAAGAGAACTAAAGTACAAGAAACAACACTCAGGAAAATGCAAGCCTATTTTACTCATTCTACCAATATTGAGAAATTGTATACAAAATATTACCTTATAATGATACTAACCCATTATATATCAAAGTAGAACATTGTTCTGTATCAGATTTTACATAATTGAAGCATAACAGAGCGCTTATCAACTCAGATATCAGGTTATTGTTCTCACAACTTCAATAATTATTGGGCATTGCTTCAGTTGGCCATGGAGTTCCTCTTTAGGTGGGAGGTTGAAGCATGTAAGTAAAGCATTTAAATGCTCAACCAGCTGCCTCACAACATTTTTTTCTCTTCCCAGAGGGCTGGGTGGGAGTTTCGTTTGCATTTTAACTAGAGAAAAAGGAGAAGCCATGATTACTTAAAATCCCAATTGTAAAATATAACCACGGGGCACATTATTTGTGCAGCTTCTCATGGAATTCAAAAAAAAAATGGATTTCATCTCTCTGATTCCTTTTCATTTTTTGTAATTTTTCTTAAGTTGAAGCTGTCCTGTAGTGTGTTGCTTTTTTCTTTCTTTTTTTTAAATAATTTTATTTTGCCTATTCATTTTGTCCTTTACAAAAGGATACCCCAAAAAAGGTAAAATACTTACTTGTACACAACTTCAACAGCTTTTCGCACGTCCCAGCATAGTATGTAAGGATCCTTCAAAATAATTTCAAATATTGAATTTTGTGAACTGCATTTATTGAACAAACTACAAGTACAAGTGATCTTGGGCAATAATTTAAAGTGCCAAGTTTATAAGAAAAGGCATCATGGTTAAGCTAGCCAAAAGCTCATAAAATAACGTGCAAATAGAGAGAGCAGCATTGTCCCACCTGAAGGCAATAAAATTAAACTGCAGTAAAAACATGGGATGCACAGGATGAAGGTAGAACACTTGAATGGTTGTTAGAATGTATGGGCAGTCTCACTTTACTAGAGGAAAAAATACTTTACAATTAACAATACCGCTCCAATATTTAGATGGTATGAACCAATTATACACATGAGAAAACCAAGGTGAAGGGTGAAACCAATGCAATCTTTCTCAAAAACATGGAGATATTACCAGGAGTGGACTGAATGGTTTATCCCATGAGAAAATATCAAGTATAAAGTTTAATTCTAAAATACACTCCCATTTCCCTTTGTCACAGCTATGTATCTACTTCAATTTAATTTTTTTTTTTTTTTTTAATTTTTATTATCCAAAATATCCTTGAACTTGCTTTGCAAACCCCAGTTCGACACTGGAACTCCCAGAGAACCTTACAATCTTCAAGAAACAGAAAAAAAAAAAAAGGTCTTTTGGCCATATAAGTGCCCATTAAGGGGTTCAAACCCTAAACCTGTGGGAGTAAACCACAAGCCTGATCATACAGCTAACATCATGTGTATCCACTTAACGGCAATAAATTACGCATTCACCTTTTATAATGTTAAGGATAATAAAAGTTTACATTCCTCAGAAATGTATCATCTATTCTAAAAAATTGATAAAGGAAATAAAATATAAATGCACAGCAGTAGATGTTTATTAATTTTAGGTAGCAGGAGTTTCCATCTATGAGAACAAATCTCATTCTCAACTTTGACCCTTTCCACATAAATGCAGGGGGTGTGGGGTGGTGGGAAAGGAAGAAAAATTTGGATCTTCTTTCTGTCACATTAATTAATCATAATCTGCATGGAAATAAAAAATGTATATGGACAATACCTTTCGACCTCCAGTGTAAAGATAGTTTCCATCTTTCGAGAACTGGAGCTGAATGGAAAAAAAAAAAAAAAATCACCATTATTCATTGATATTTATAATCAGAATCAAGCATATACAGATGAATGCCTACTCAATCAGTCAGATGCTGCCAGATGAGTGCTAACTTACATGTGTAATCCCACCTTCCTGACCATGTAAAATGTATAAAAGTTCCATATTGTCTTCTCTGTAGATTGCTGAAGTCTGACTGTATGAACCTGTAGCTAGCATTCCTGTATGACTTGGACTGAAAGTGATTCCAGATATTATACCTGCAGTTAATAAACAAGATACTTCGTCATTTATTAATCACCTAATAACTCCATTTAGGTTGATAAACCAGGAATAATACCTGCTTGACCCTCTTTATTTCCTTGAAGGGTTGAGTACTGCACAAAATCCCTACCAGGGCGATGTATATTGAATACTCTTATAGATTTGTTGTATCCAGCAAATATCCTACAAGATAAAAAAGTGAAGTTAGCAAAACCATTTTTTGGTGTGTGACAATTTAGACCAAAAAAGTTTATATGGTGACCTAGTTAAGCATATGGTTGATAAAAACTTCAAAGAATATGACAACACATCACGGTTAATGAAAAGAGTAGAAATTAATAATGCACTTGACCAAAGTTCATCTATAAGATACTGAAAGGGTCTTTAAAACAAAAGTCACCATCTGCAGACTACCTACATAATGATCTAAAAATCCTATAGGCAGAGTGTCAACAATCATAACAAAGAAGATATATTATTTACAAGCATACACACACAAAAGAAAAAGCATATAGCTACATCAATCAAATCATACAGCTTTCAAAGAGTTGTTCACTTACTTAGTCCCAGCAGGATTAAATGCAATTGAGATGGCAGCAGTGATTTCATCCACAGCATCGTATGCTCGATATGTGCAACGCATCTGTCAGTAATCATGATCAGTGACTAAATATAGTTACACAAATCACAAAAGGGGTAGCAAAGCTATCTCAGCAATACTTTGAAATGGGTGTTCACAGTATATATAGTATTTGCGAATTGATGAGACCTACAATGCCTTCATAATACACTATATAAGCAGTGTGCCATTTCAGTGTACTACAAGGCCTTTTCAAACTTTCCAAGAAGTATCCGAACCACTTAATATCATTAGCAGAAAGCATTATATATGAGGAAAGTAAATCAGTACCAGACCAGAAGTAGCATCCCAAAGATGAATCGGATGGTCACGAGTGGTACTAGCAAACACGCAACTAACTGGGTCTGAAACAGGAACCAGAGTTACATCAAATACCAACCTCACGCAACATCAATAAAATTAAAATCCCTTCCACCATAACTAGAAGTAACATATACATAAAACATACACAAGCACACATGCAGAAACATCCTTCCATCAATTAAGATTAATTATGCACCTGAAGCAGACATGTACGGATACCAACAAAAGTCGTATACAGACTCTCCTTCACGCACAACAAGGTTTGCATCAAAAGAATCTGCAAAGCATAAGAGTAACACAACAGTAAACTATAGTTTAAAATATTATGACATGAGAGCCCATCAGCCTAAAATCAGCTCAACATCATGATCAATTAGCCAAAATTTTCATTCTCCTAATATGTAAGCATTTCAACAAAATGCTATTGACTTTCATTACCTTGTTCATTAGCCAAAGAACAAGCATTAATATCATCTCCGCCTCCATTATCCGGCCTGATAGACAATCAACATATTATATAGCAACCATAAAATATCTCATAGTCATAACCACAGATAAAGCACAGAACTAAACCATTTGTTACACTTTATCGTACTTGAAAGCAAAATTTGCAGTGATTTCATAATTAAAAGCAAATGAAGAGCTTATTCAAACAACATTAAAACTTACAACGTAAAAACGCGAAGCGTATTATCCTCAGAATTTGTGAGAAAACACGAACCGTCGGGTGACCTACCAAAATTAAAATAAAAAATAATTCCCAAACAAAAAGCTAAAAAAAACAAATGAAATAAGAGCTGAAGCAGAACAAGAAAATGCAGGAACAGTTACCATTTGATGCCTTTGAGGAAGTTGTTAGCGTTTGAGGAGGTCCTGAACTGGTTATAGAAATGGTAGGATCTATGTGGAGGAACATCGAACTTAATCACAGGCCACGTGTACTCTTGCTGGCTCTCTTGTGTAGTTTCTGTAACTTCAATTTGTTCTTCTTGTTGCTCTTCTTCTCCCATTCGTGTTTTGAGGTTTGGATATTAGCGCCAAAAGTAGAGTGTGCTTTTGCGTTTTGGAGCTTTGAGTTGAGACTGGCGTTGAGGCTGTCTGCCTGTGTGGAAGAATTTAAAGTGTTTTCCACAGGAGTCCCACACTTTTGCATAATTACATTAATACCCCTTTCATTGTGTTTGTGTTCTTTTTGAGTAGTGAAGAGTGAAGACCATAGCTCCTTCAGGTTTAATAAAATCGAACGGATCCAAGATTTTCGTATAATCATAAAAAAATCCCCAATCTTGGATAAAACATTAAAAATATGAAAAACAAATTCTTACACAAATTTTTTTTTGCAAGTACAATTTTACCCTTATATGTAGCATACTTTTATGAATTAAAATGAAAATCCATGAATTTAACAATTAAAAATAATTTGTTATATATTTCCCATACCTATTTTACCCTTATATGTAGCATACTTTTATGAATTAAAATGAAAATCCATGAATTTAAAAATTAAAAATAATTGTTATATATTTTCATTCCTTTTTATTCCTAGTATTTTTAATATTAAATTCATATTTTTTTTATGATTATATTTTAATAATGTATACCTGACATATTAGATAGATTTTGTATTGAAAAGTATGTTACAAGTGAGTGTAAAATGGTATTTACACACAAATATATTGTCAGAATTTGTTTTGCATAATATTTATAAAAATTGGGGAAGTTTGTTACTTTATGAAACCTTGGGATATAATTTTTTTTTGTTAAACCTGAAGGAGATATTTGTTATTCACTCTTCTTTTGAATTCCCAATTTCCATTGCTTGTATTTTTTTTCTGGAAATTGTGTGAAGTTGTTCACAAACCATTTCCCATTTTGAAATTCCAATCAATCTTTGCCTGCGCAATGTCAAGATCCCCTGATCATCGAGTCAAATTAAAAGATTTTAAACGAATGTTTGGAACAGGATATTGGATAATAGATGCCATCATCGATCAAAAGGTTTAAAACAGACCGACTTTGTGATCATGCAATATATACTTATCTCGACAAAGAAGGAGCCGATAACTCTTGTGGATGAATTTAAATTTGCATTTTTTCTTAGTTTCAAATGCGAGCATGAGTAAAGATAGATGGTTCATTACAACTATTAGTTTGCCTTTCCAGGGCATTACTTTATGCCCCAGCTCCACAGTTTATGAGAGTAGCAACACATCTGATCGAAGTAAGAAAAAATTGTAATACTCAATAATCTCCCACGAGCAACAGCTTCAGTGCCACTTATCCAGAATCAATGACTGCCGATGCTGGCCTTATCACAAAGTGGTTTTCAAAAGTGGGTCGTCCTTATATTTTGAGTACAATGGAAGATCAAGGGCTCTTTCTGCAACTTTCTTGTCATTGTGAATCTTTGCGACCAATCTCTCAAGGCATGGGAAATTAGCCTGTTATAACCCAAGCACAAGTTTAGGCAAAAATAGAAAGGCAGGAACATGATTATGGTCACGAAGGAAAATAGTTAGTAATTGTAAATGATACCTCAGGACGTATATAGCCAACTACAACAAGACGTAATTCCTCTCCATAGAAATCCTCATGAAATTCATGAAGCAACCAGGGCTCCTGCATTACAAGATAGATTTAGATGAAAAAAGAAAAGAATAGGGGACCTGCAGATGCCACCATCCAAGTCGATGTTATACTCACTATAGTCTTTTCAGTGTTGTTGAAATAAGGATTCCAACCAATACTCATGACCATTTTATAAACACCTCGATTTGATAACCCAGCCCAACCAAAATATACCCCAGAGGGATGCTCTGAAAGGAAATCTGAATTTTCTTCCGCTGACACATTAGCTGAAAATAGATATTGAATTTGTTAAAAGAAGCAATGTAATAAAAATAAAAAAGAAAAGAGAAAAGATAAATGAAACATAAGCAAAATCTTAAAGCATAAGCCTGAGGTCACCTCAGAAGTAATTGCAAAACTGCTATACATGAGTTAGAAGTGACAGACCATTAACAATTTAATGCTATCTGTACTAGACAATGAGACATTGAAAAGAGAAAAATCTAGCTGACTAAGCCAAAGGATAAAACAAATAGATTCTGACACACCTGTAGGAATTCCAAGTACCTTTGAGCCCCGACCAAATCCCTTAATTACAGGACCACCGATATACGATGGCTCTAGAGGTAAGGTACCCTCTACCCCTGTAATTAGCAATAAATATTTGAGAAGAAAGTTCCTGATAGAAGGTAAATTTACTGAATGTAATAAAAAAATTATTTAAGTCCAGGTTTTACAATCTTGAAATTGGGGTAAGCCCCACTTTTCTGGTTGTAAATCAAGTAGAGAGTTGATGATTTCATCTGCAGATGTGTAAAGATGACTTTGCTTTGGGATTGATGGTACAGCGACAACTTCCATTCCAGCAGCCTTACCAGCTGTAACACCTGGACTGAAATGGTCAAAAATTACAATGTCAATGACTGAAAGTCTATTGATGTATGGGCAATATTGATAAAAGGCAAAGTTTTTGCTCATTGATCACAAGAACAATTTATTTAGATATTGGAAGATAGACTAATCCGGAAAACAGAAACAGGCAAGCCTCACAGATGCTGCAGAACACCAAGGCCAAAGATAAAGATTTTTTTTCCATAACATTTTGCTAGGCTAAAGTTTCAGCATTGCTTGAATAAAATTTGATGATGATTTCAGGCAGTCATCATTTCCACATATGTATGCAGAGTAATATAAATGTAATTTTTTAAAGATTAAAGTATCAAATATTCCAAATGTAACTGCTCATCCTCTCGTATAGCAGTTTTACAACACAATTTGTGTACCAATGTTCATGTCAATAAAAATCCACATCATTATTTGGATGGCTAGCACGTCAAAGGCATCATAAGAAATTAGCAGCACCCAGGCTTGTCTGGCCATAGATTTTAAACAACTTATTTTTTCAGTGCAGGTTCTGGACAGAAGTGATCTCTTCTATTATTTAAAACAAACACAAAAATTAAGCACACACAGGTAGTGCACCAACCAAGGTGAAAATGTGCTCCTTGAAGAGCACTGGACGAGAGGCCTATGACCCTTGAAAAAAAAATGTATCTGCAGTAAGGACTTAAAAGACTCACTTACACAGAATCTTCAATGACCAGGCAGCTTGAAGGTTCAATATTTAGCCTTTTAGCAGCTTCCAGGAATCTGAATTATGAAACATCAAAAGGTTATAATTCCAGAAGGGCATTGACTTTTTCACATTTTCATAGAATAAAGAAAATAATCTCAATATATAGACTAATGAATCTCACATTTCAGGAGATGGCTTTCCCATTTTCACTTCATCACCACCAATAATGACAGAGAACGATTCCTTCCAGCCTAAGAAAGAAATACTATCAGCAAACAGGCTTGCAAATAACAAACAAAAGACAACATATCTTCAGTGCATGTCAGAAATGCTAATTATGTGAGATGCAAGAAGTAATTGTCACCAGAATTTCTACTAAACCTACCTTGGTGATAAAAAATTTTGGACTCTATGCTTGCCCGAGGTGAATTTGAAGCTAGTGCCATAGGCAAACCATGACCATTCAAATGTTTAATTAATCGGTTGGCACCAGGAAGAGCTTTAATGTTGCACCACCTATATCAAACATTGTGAAAATGCATTAAAAGATTTCCACAGAATCTTTTACTACTTTGCGAATTAAAAGTAGCATTGCAATTTTTTTTAAATGATTATAGCAACAATTATGATGGCTCAACATATAATTTATGACATCCACTAAGAATGGCAAAGAATATTTCTTCTAGGTCCTGATTCCTTGATTCCAAGGCCATGCTCAACTTAGAGAAGCTTAAGGCTACCTAGACAAAGCCAGCAGCAAGAAAAAAAAATATTTAAACAATGTCAAAATACAGTGAAAAGTAAAGATCAAAAGACTGTGCTGAGTGGCACTGCAATAACAAAAAGAATTGTTAGGTAAAAATATCACAATCAGATTATAGGCATAGAGTTAAGCATACATCTTAATTTTCATGCAAAAACAGTTTTCAAAATGAAGATGAAATTTGAAATTTTGGGATACAAAAAAAATAATTCAGCTGCAAAAACAATTTCCGTTATTTTCATATTTTAAACGAATTTTAAGGATCATCCAAGAACAGTTTGTAAAGACACCTCAACCAACAGTATTTTCTTAAGATTTTCTGTATTTCTTGTTTTAAAATCAAAGAATTCTACCCAAATTGGAAATGAGATAGGCCCTAATTGAGATGAAAAAGAGTTTATCGAAAGAAGATTTCCAAAGTTAAATACATTGCGCAAATGCTATAAGTTCACAATTGGAAAAAGCAGGCAATGTCAATTAAACATACATCCCCAGAATTCAAATAGCTTCTTCGTTATCTCCCTATACGCATCATGAATCATAAACATTCGTATGCACAACAAAAGGTTCCAAACACTTTGAATTTTCAACATCTCAAAGACATCTAGATTACACAAAATCTAATAATAGTATATAAAAGTAGGTGAGGAGTTTAGTTAATTACTGATTATTAAACATGGGAGTAATTTCTGCGATAAATTCATCGGTTGTACAAGGAAGCTGATATTCTTCCACAATGGCAGCTGCCTCTTCTACAGGCGTCTTCCCCACGATTTTCTGAGCTTCTCTCCCGTCCCACTGTTTCCCATACTTAACCAAAAGCACTTTCAAAACATTGGTTATAATGCCATCTGCCATTAAATTGAAAACAAATTATCACAACAACAAAATTTACAACGTGATCAAAATAAAGCCGACGAGCACGAACGAGCTGACCTGTGTTAAGAAGTGTCCCGTCCAAGTCAAGAATTACACATGACACTAACTTCTTTAACGGTTGAGCCATTGACATTTTCGAGATATTAATCAAATTCAGCAAGAGTTTATTCAATATTCAAGCTCCAATTCGTCAAATATTTCTGAAATTGAAGAAAATATCATCAATAAATAAGTAATTCTCTAACCATAATTAAATACGAAAATATATCAAGCAAACAAGAAAATTTTTGGTAGATAGAGTAAAAATGTAACCGTACGAGCATGGAGTTCATGTACTCTGCTTTTCGATTTATTGAGATGCAACACAAATGATGGTTTATGCCATTATTTAAATCTTTCTGGTGCTGTGCGTTTTGTACAGTTCTCTGTACTGTCCAGTATCCAATAAAAGTGGGGCCATAGGAGACCAGGGATACGTGGCTTCCAATAAGGGATAGCAAATTTCCGGACCGGATCATATAATAAAAGGACCCGTAAACCCGGATTTTCTGTTTTTTATTTTATTGAAAATATTAAAAATATTTGGAAAAACAAAAAATGAAAACCTAATCAATATGTCTAAAAACGTATTTGAAAACACGAAAAAAAAAATACATTCAATATATTTATCTAAAAATATGAAAAATATTAAATTTATCATCTTTATAATTAATAAAATATATTTAAATTATCATTTATTTTGTTCACCCCAAAAAGCTTATCTTAACTATATCAAACTTTTTTTTTATTTGTAATTTTTTTTTAAATTTTTATTTAAATGAAATTTTTGTTTGAAGAAAAAGAAAAGCACTTATAATAGGAGAATGAGAAAAAATATTTCTATTTTGCCATAAAATGTGGGACCTACGTCTTCTCTATCCAACATGCCAATTACTCCCTATTCTGAATTCAATTTGGGGTAAAAAATTGAAAACAAAATGAAAGATTCATTAATGAACTGGGCTAAACATCTTTATTAATTGGGTTAAGATTAGGGTTCTCATTATTTTTTACACAAATTATGAATCTCATCTAAATATGGCATTTTTAAAGTTCATTAATTATGCAAATTATATTGAATTTCGATCATTTAAAGTATTTTAATCTAATGATTTATAAATTGTATCATATTTTGTATAAAAAAAGTGGTGCATCCACCAAATTTTATTTTATTTTATTTTTTTAGTTTTGGTGACAGGGGTATCCGAGCCAACTTGTGCATACCTCAACTAATCTCCGAGGGTTATTTATTTATTTATTTTTTTGTGACGAAGGTGTTCGGGCCAGCTTGCGCGTACCTCAACTAATCCTCGGGTGTGTCTAAGCTAGCTTGCACGTACTTCAACTAATTCTTCTGGGTCTTGAAGTTGACAACCGAGTAAATCCCCTCAGTGGCTAGCCCTATTAGCAAACCAAGTGGATCAAACTCAGGACCTCTTAAGTAATACATCCAAAAGTCCTAAATGACCATTACGTCACCCACTAGTGGTTATCCACCAAACATTTTCCTTCCTAATTTTGTTCAATCAAAAGATTTTCTAATAATTCTCTGTATTTTATAAAGTTAAAAGTTGACCCCTAAGTTATGATATAATAACAATTCTTTTATAGTCAATAAGTTGCTAAAGTTTATATTATTATGAATTAATAAATATTTTTACCAAACTATCATCCTATTGTTTATTTTTACGCCTACAATATAACAATAAAAAATATCTACTATTTCAAAAACCTCTAAATTTTTTTATTATTTAATTAAACCATTAAAAAAAAAAATTTCATTAACTTCATTTTATAATGTTGGTTTACTTACTTGATAGAGTTGAAATAGGGTATTAAAGTAGATATTTCGTTTACATATGTCTCTCTCAACATGTGTAGACAAGTTGTAAGATTCATCTTCCACCATAGTAATAGCACCCTCAAATTACAAATTGATTGGATGCCAAGAATTATATGCCAATAATTGGATACTAATAAGTTTATACCAGTATATTCCATTTCTTTATGGGGGTTGGGGATTGTTACTTCAAATTTTAAATCAACTGTTTTTTTTTTTTTTTTTTTTTTCAGTGACTGGCCAGCTTGTGCACACTTCAATAATTCTCCAGGTCTTGAAGTTGAAGTTGGGTAATTCCTTAGTGATCATCCTATTAGTATTCAGGTGGATTGATCTTAGAATTATTGACTAATATATCTAAGAGTCTTATGACTGTTGGACCACCCAATGATGATTTAAATCAACTATTCAGTTCAACTTCAACCTAACTTTTTTTTTTTTTCAAATAAAAATATATATTGAATATTTATTATTTTTAAATTACTAGTCATAATGTTAGATTGTATGGAAGGAAAAGTTGAAGACAAATAAGAGAATTCCAATCCTTTCATTAATTAATTAATTAATTAAAATCAATATAGATAAAGAGGTGTTGAATCTATGCTTTCCTTTAATAAAATAATTGACCAAAATTCCCTTATTCGATGATGACATTAAGAAGAAGTGAATGGAATATAACAGCAATTGAGGCCTGTTTTTGGAACTTCGTTTGGAAGCTAGTATCATATTACTTCTGTCCTTTAATAGCCCTGTCTTTTAATTTAAGGAACTCATTCACATGACATGGAGTTAGAATAATGAAATATTAATTAAATAAAGAAGAACTAATAATAATAATAATCTTAATTAAACGAACAAATGAGCCTGCACATTCGAGGTTTGTTAGAATAAAAAAAATGAAATTTAAGAAATTTTAAATTTGTTTGCTTGTGAATTTGAATGAGATTAAAGATTTCTAGAAAATAATTAAATTTAGAAGGGACAGTATGATTAAACAAGTAAGACCTATTTTATTTTTATGGAAGTTTACAATGGATTATTAGTCTTTTCCCATGTATTATCTTTAGTGTCGCCACTATACTGTTTTATACCAAAAACAGATTCTAATTACGTTATTTATTTATGGGAATAAAATATAGAAGAAATGGGTTGAGATTCTATTGTTTTAGAGTGTTGTGAAGAGGCAAAAGACAAGTCCAACTCATAAGAGGGACTGAGACTATAAAACTTAGTTAGACTTGAATAATTTGATATAAAATCAAAGTTAATCATACTATAAAGTACGTTAGTACAAGTTCCAAGTCTCCGGTATGATATTATCAGTTGATTTATTCATGTCTCATATGTAGAGATGCACTTGTCATTGTTGTGATTTGTAATTAACAACAAAATAAACTTGTAGTTTAACATAAGTGGGACAATTAAGGGTGAAAGTCAAGCCAAGCAGCTTGAGCTCGGCTTAGACTCGACTATATTGTTGAGTCGAGCTCGAGCTCAAATACTGATTCGAGTTGAGTTCGATCACAGTGTAACTCGATTCAAAAAGTTCGATTAAACTTGATTAAAGCTTGATTAAAGTTTGAATTCTAATTTTAGGTACCGATTTCGAATTCGAACTTGATTCCTCAAGCTCGAATTCGATACTGTAGTAATCGAGTCGAGTTCGAGTATCCAGATACTCGACTTGACTCGATTTCATCCCTATGGACAATGTTTATAAGAGATTGTTATTGACCCTCCTCACATAAATCCAATTGTATGATTTTAAAAACCCTTTTTCATTTTACAAATTCAAAAACACAAAGCAATCCAATTTGTATATGAATATCACCCATCAATACCAAATTAAACTTGTATATCAAAAATAATTTAAAGATTTATTATAGCTTTTTGGACAAACCATTTAGAAAATGCAGATATTTTCTTCTACCTCTTTAAAGACATATGATATATTTCATATGCAATTTCTCAGTCTTGTTTTACAAACAAATTCAAAAATTAATTTGGCAAATACTCATATATGAGCCTTAAATATCTACGTCAAAATTAATTTAGTAAAACATAATTTGGGATCAGATTTCACAAGGTTTTTTGAGTAAAAATCAACTCTCAAATCATGGGTACACTAGTCAACTTCATAATAGACTTGTTACCATATGAATACATTCATATTTATAATCAATGTGAGTAAATGAGATAAGTGTCATATGGTGAGGCGTTTACCAACTATCTAAAAAACTAATTTATTAAGTGACTCTGTTTATCCACTCTTGTAAACCTAATATCCAACCCATGTCTACTTTAAGTAATACATCCAAAAGTCCTAAATGACCACTGAGCCACCCAGTGGTGGTTATCCACCAAACCTTTTCCTTCCTAATTTTGTTCAATCAAAAGATTTTCTAATAATTCTCTGTATTTTATAAAGTTAAAAGTTGACCCCCAAGTTATGATATAATAACAATTCTTTTATAGTCAATAAGTTGCTAAAGTTTATATTATTATGAATTAATAAATATTTTTACCAAACTATCATCCTATTGTTTATTTTTACGCCTAAAATATAACAATAAAAAATATCTACTATTTCAAAAACCTCTAAATTTTTTTATTATTTAATTAAACCATTAAAAAAAAAAATTTCATTAACTTCATTTTATAATGTTGGTTTACTTACTTGATAGAGTTGAAATAGGGTATTAAAGTAGATATTTCATTTACATATGTCTCTCTCAACGTGTGTAGACAAGTTGTTAGATTCATCTTCCACCATAGTAATAGCACCCTCAAATTACAAATTGATTGGATGCCAAGAATTATATGCCAATAATTGGATACTAATAAGTTTATACCAGTATATTCCATTTCTTTATGGGGGTTGGGGATGCTACTTCAAATTTTAAGTCAACTATTCCTTTTTTTTTGGTAATCGGGCCAGCTTATGCGTACCTCAACTAATCTTTCAGAGTCTTAAAGTTGACAGTCAAGTAAATCCCTTCAGTGATCACCTTATTAGCAATTCAGGTGGATTGAACTTAGAATCTCTTGACTAATACATCCAAGAGTCTTAATTAACTGTTGGACCACCCAATGATGGTTTAAATCAACTATTCAGTTCAACTTCAGCCTAACTTTTTTTTTTTTCAAATAAAAATATAATTGAATATTTATTATTTTTAAATTATTAGTGATAATGTTAGATTTATGGAAGGAAAAGTTGAAGACAAATAAGAGAATTCCAATCCTTTCATTAATTAATTAATTAATTAAAATCAATATAGATAAAGAGGTGTTGAATCTATGCTTTCCTTTAATAAAATAATTGATCAAAATTCCCTTATTCGATGATTACTTTAAGAAGAAGGGAATGGAATATAACAGCAATTGAGGCCTGTTTTTGGAACTTCGTTTGGAAGCTAGTATCATATTACTTCTGTCCTTTAATAGCCATGTCTTTAAATTTCAAGGAACTCATTCACATGACATGGAGTTAGAATAATGAAATATTAATTAAATAAAGAATAACTA